TAAAAAACAAAAATAATATGAATAAATGACTTTATAATTAACTTTACTAAAGGTTTGAAATCATGAAAATCCCTTCAAGGAAATCTGCCTACGACGTGATTGGAATCATGAAAATCCCTTCAAGGAAATGGCAGAATTGAACTTTGGTGCAAGTTCACATGGGAAATCTTGCGACGTGATTGGAGGAAATTTTAAGAGACTAGCAGCTAGAGCAAGTCTTCAACTCCTGTTGTTACAACAAATTCGTACACTCGAAGCCCTCTACCAATGGGATGCCTGTAAAAAATAACTGCAACTAACTTTTCAGTGGACTTTATTTCGACTATGACTACGTGCCATTTACTTTAATCCTATTTAAGCTAGTTTAAAAGGTTAAAGGTTAAATAACATCAAGTTAGTTAGGGGACTTCATATCCTTATTTAACGAATCTTTAAATCAATAAATAATTTTTTTCTTTTTAGTTCTTATTGTAATAAAAGCGTATTGTTGGTTTTTTAAACTATAATTTTATTGCTCATTAGGTTTGTTTTTAGGAAAGTTGTGTATTTCCTTTTTCTTGTTTTAATAAAAAGACTTACCTTGAAGCTATCATTGGAGGTCTAATATTCTTTAGCAATGAAACAGACACATCAACAACATCAACATCAACAACACTCATTGCAAAATAATATTAGACCTCCAATAATAGCTTCAAGGTTAGTCCTTTTATTAAAATAAGAAAAAGGAAAGGTGTGTAAAAAAATAAACCTAATGAGTAATAAAAGTTTAGTTAAAAAAAAAAACCAACAACACGCTTTTATTACAATAAGAACTAAAAAGAAAAAAAATATTTATTGATTTAAAGATTCGTTAAATAAGGATATGAAATTCCCTAACTTGATGTAATTTAACCTTTTAAACTAGCTTAAAATAGGATTAACGTAATTGGCACGTAGTCATAGTCGAAATAAAGTCCACTGAAAAGTTAGTTGCAGTTATGTTTTACAGGCATCCAATTGGAAACATACAGCACCCCATTGGTAGAGGGCTTCGGGTGTACGAATTTGTTGTAACATCAGGATTTGAAGACTTGCTCTAGGTGCTAGTCTCTTAAAATTTCCTCCAATCACGTCGCAAGATTTCCCATGTGAACTTGCACCAAAGTTCAATTCTGCCATTTCCTTGAAGGGATTTTCATGATTCAGACCTTTAGTAAGGATAATATGATTTATTCATACTGTTTTTGTTTTTTACACACCTTTCCTCTTTCAAAAATATATAATTTTATAAAATTTCAATGTCTATTTATCATATTGCTCGAGCGTTAGACGATCTAGAGTCCATACACATAAGTATCCCATTACGCCCATTTGGGTACTTAAAGTTGACATTATAGGCAATGTTTTTATTTAAAAATAAAAATTTTTTAAAATGTTATAATCAAAATAAAATCAAAAAGAAAACTGTTTACTTATTTTTTTTGTTTTTTTATACGTTGCACATTAATGCGAAAAATGTACAATTAAAGCCCATAACAAGACGGAAGAAATACCTTTTTTCATTAAGATACAGCACTTTAATGAAAGGTATGTATGAAGTTTTCTTAAAATTTAAGTCCCGTGTAAATAGGCAACCATACGTCATGTCGGCAAAATATGCGGCACGTATATTCATGTCACCTAGACTTAAGACGATTCGACATTCTGCACAATGAACGACGACGCACCCACTAGGATTATGGGCAGCTGCTGCAGCTCGCCAGATCTAACAAAAGTCAGCGCCGGTCTAATAAACAGCGTATCATGGCGACCTATCCTGACTTTAGCATCAGACCATCTACCCATAAACATCTCGACTGATAAACCAGCCGACTTTGCTTCTGCGGATCACCGGACATATGTCAACTTTTCTAAAGCTGATTGGAAAGGCTTCGCGGATGTTACTGAACGCCTTCGCTGCACTACCCATACCAACCGACATTCACGTTGGTGAACGTAAATTCCGCAGGGTTGTCACTGCTGCTGCAGCCCGCTGCATCCCAGCGGAATGCATCTCGGACCCTCGTCCGAATTTTCCTGCAGAAGCGGCCCTCGCCAAGGCACGTCAGGAGGCATCTTTACGAACTGACGGACGAAGTCCAGAGGTTTATTAAACAACCTCTGGACACGTCAACCTACCGACAGGCCCTGAACGGCATTCACAGGGAATCAGTCGCGAGTTATGTAGACTCCCGCCCTGTGAATGCCGTTCTAGGCACACAACCACCGGACGTGGACCGGACAGAACTTTGTCTGCCTCGAGAGACCCGCACTACAATAGCCCAACTTCGCTCTGTCTATTGCAGCAGGCTAAACTCTTACCTGAGCAGAATCAATGAGGATGTGCCCAATCAATGCCCGGCATGTGGAGAGTCGCCACATGACCCCCGGCACCTCTTCACATGCATGAGAACCCCACTCAGCTGACGCCCCTGTCCCTATGTTGTTGATGTTGTAGCAGCATACAAGTTCCCCAAAGGGTTTTTGGGGAGTGTGCTGGAGTGAGTCCTTGGCCAGATATAAATCTGGGTCGTTCCGGTTACGTGGACCCGACTGTCGTGGGAACGCCCCTGTTCCTATGGACAGAACCTGTGGAAGTCGCGCCTCTTGTTTTCACCAGCGGTGAGGTAAGGGTAGCCATCGGGAAGGCGAAAGCCTCCAAAACCATTGGACCCGACGGAATATGCATGCTGATTCTGAAAAATTTGGGTCCTACGGGAGTAGCGTACCTAACGGAGGTCCTCAACCTGTCAATAGTCACTCTTGTCGTTCCAGACATCGGGGAAACCAGCCAATAAAGGAGAGTCCTATCGTCCGATAACCCTCCTTTCCCCGGTAGCGAAGATACTAGAGGCCTTGCTACTCCCGTATTTTACAAACCACCGGACCCCAGCGAAGCATCAGCATGGGTTCCGTCAAGTGCACAGCACAACAAAGCACTTAACGCCATAAATACCCAGATAACTCGTGGCCTAAACCGAAAGCGCCCCTGTGAGAGAACCATTCTAGTAGCGCTGCACCTGTCTAAGGCGTTCGACACTGTCAGCCATTCAACGCTACTAGAAGACATAGAAGCCTCCTCTCTCCCACAGGGACTTAATCGGTGGTCGGCGAATTATCGGAGTGGTCGTCACTCGTCAGTAACTTTTAGAGACAAATCGAGCAAACCGAGGAAAATAAAACAGGGGGTTCCACAGGGTGGTGTTCTTTCCCCATTACTGTTTATCTTTTACATTTCAAAGCTCCCTCAACCACCAGAGGGAGTCTCGATTGTCTCTTATGTTGATGATCCAATCCAAAGTATGTTCGATAAAGTATGAAGAAATTACTTAACCACGTCAGAAAAAAATTTAATGCAGTTTTATAGGCACACTTAAAATTATTATAAAAATTCTGTTTAAAATTTATGAAACTTTAGTGACCATTCGCTGAATTTTTTTAAATTTTTGTACAAACATTAAACAAATAACGCATAAATATTTAAAACTGGTCAAAAGGTGCTATTTTTTATCGGCACGTTTTGTGCATGCACCTATTTACCGTCTATGTACTTACAATGAAAACTTCAGTGAATCATCTAATTCCATTAGAGCCGCCTGATTGCCGCAGCGATAGCAATAATTTGGCGCTGAGAATATTGTAACAACATTTCGATCATGGCACCAATTATATCCTTCCATGACTAACTGATGAGCGCGTGATACCAGTGTCAGTCCATTTGTGTTGTTGAACGTTTCCGAAATATCCTGTCATAAATCATAAGTATAAAAATAACAAATATGTAAAATACCCAATGCACATGTCAGAAAATCTTGAAACATACCTGACCAAATGTGTAGCCGGCACCACGTGGTGAAATTCCCCAGCCGCCCCTATCGTCAGGGTCAGACCATAGTAGGTCGCACATGGGGCCCTCGTGTGGCACCTCTTGAAGACGATCCAAAGCACGAATATGATCCAAACTATCGATAGATGGACTGAGACCGCCATGCAAACAAAATATTTGTCCATCGACCAATGCCGTCAATGGTAAGTAATCAAATAAATCAGTAAAGTACTTCCAAACATTTGCATTGCCATATTTTCGCAGGCATTCATCGTAGAATCCGTAAACTTGCGTAATTTGTCGCGATTCATGGTTGCCACGCAGAATTGTAATTCTTTCTCGGTAACGAACCTTTAATGCTACCAGCAAAGTGACGGTTTCCACCGAATAGTAGCCACGATCAACATAATCACCCATAAATAAGTAATTTGTATCAGGCGATTTACCACCTATCCGGAACAATTCCATCAAATCATGGAACTGTCCGTGTACATCTCCGCACACTGTGACTGGACATTTCACCTCCTGGACATTTGATTCCTTTGAGAGGATCTCCTTCGCCTTAAAGAAAGAATAAAAAACATGTTATTAACACAAAAAAAGGGGAACACATACATACATATCGTCGATGTTTGTGCAAAACCGCCCATCGACCAGTTTCAAAACCGCCTAAATCGTCGCTGTGGCAAAAAAAAGAGATTTGGTAACTCTGAATTCCAGGCATCGAGATTTATGCATAAAAATCGTAGTCGTTACTAAACCGTTTGTAAAATAATAGCTAGAGAAAATACCGCCTATCAAGGCAATGCCTTCAAAGAAAACACGGTTTTTCGCTCTCCTGTAAAATTTGTGTGCCGTTAGATAGGCGGTTTTGCAACTAGTAGATGTGCGATTTTGCAAAAACATCGACGATATACATATATATGAGCGATTGCAGCGAAAAGTCTATCGCCAAAAAAAAAATAAATAGAAGTCCTATATCTAATTTATTTACAGGTCGATTTGGCTGCTTTTTATAATATACTAGCTTTTACCCGCGGGTTTCACCCCACGTGAGAAGGAATTAAAAGGGTCTTGTGACTTGTGGTTCCGAAGCTATGGCTAATAAAAAATTCACGCCTATGTTAAGTGCTACACTCCCTTTTACAAACTCATTTATATGTACTACCTTACTATAAGCACCTACCATAGATATGTCTGCATACCAAATGTCATGTTTATGTGACTTATGGTTCCGAAGTTATCGCTGGTAAAATATTGCACGCCTTTGGGATTTGCCACGCCCCTTTCACAGTCCTACACCTACAATAGATATATCTCCACACCAAATTTCAAGCTCATGTGACTTATGGTTCCGAAGTTATAGCTGATGAAAAATTCGACGCCTTTGGGATGTGCCACGCCCCCTTTTACAGACTAATTTATATATACACCTTACTACAAGCACCTACCATAGATATGTCTGCATACCATATTTCACGTTCATGTAACTTAACTTACGGTTCCGAAGTTATGACTGACTAAAAATTCCACGCCTATGTTATGTGCCACGCCCCCTTTTACAATCTCATTTATATATACCTTAATATAAGCATCTACCATAGATATGTTTGAATACCAAAATTCAAGTTCATGTGACTTACAGTTCCGAAGTTAGAGCAAATTTAATAATTAACGTCTATGGGAGGTGCCACGCCCCCCTTTTCCAGTACTGCCCATTTTTCTGTATGCCTATAACCTTCCCGGGGTAGAAACAAATAAGTGTGCAGAGTTTCGTGCATATATATGCAATCGCTTCCGCGATTAAACAAGACCTGAAAATTACTCACCCTTACGCTTGAAAAGTGATTTATTGAAAATATAAAAACAAAATGTAGGGCAATCACAAACTATCATGCTGGGGATTGAAATGTGATCGTTTCCGTTGCTATGAAAAAAAAAACATTTGTTTTACCGAGTCGTGGTGTGAAGTGCGTGGTGTAAGAAAATTGCAATATATGTATGCATAAGCAGTAGGACCTAATAATAATATTTTTCACCTAAATTCAAAAGCACAGACCATGAAATAAACGGTGTGCTACAAAAAAGCATTTTGTGCATGCTAAAGACAGGTTGGAAAAACGAAAACAAACTAGATCATTGCAAGTACACACGGCGAAGAAACCAAACAAAAGTAATTTTTTATAAAAACATAGCTCATAATATTACAACAAAAACATAAAGATAAAATGTGCAAAAATCAGGAAAATTTAACACAGTTCCATTTTTTCAACGCGATTTTTTTAAATTTTTTTCTACCAGTGTCTTCCATACAAAGATTGCCATTTTTTTATGCAAGACACTGTCAGAAAAAAATTGCCAAAAATCAACGCGATTTTTTCGCAACTTGGAACTTGCACTTTATTGAAAATCTTTTTAAAAAGTTGCAAATTCATTGAATTTTTCTGAGTTCTGCATATAGTTATGTACCTTAGACATTTTATTTTTATGTTTTTGTTGTAATATGAGCTATACTTTTTTATAGAAAATTAGCGAAAAAAAATTGGAATAAAAAACTTTGCACATTGTGAAAAGTTCTCTGTGTCAATTATTTTTATCCAGAAGGGTAATTTTGAAATATTTCGTTATTTCATTAACGCTTTGAACATAGACTGAAAAAGGACTCGGAAGACTCGAAAATAATTAGAAATACGACTGAAAAATTACTCGAAAAAGGCTCACAAATGTTTACAAATAGGACTAAAAAATTACTCGAAAAAGAGTCAAAACTGATCAGAAAAGTGGATAATAAAAGACTGGTCAAGAAGAATCTCGCGGGAAGGGTACCATTTTCTTATGAGACTAGAATACGATCAATAATTTCAGAAAGTGCTGGGTGGGGAGTGTACAAAATTTTATTGATATAGACATTAATTTCTTCGTACATTGTTTGATTTTATTAGAACAAGCTTTCCAAAATTAGAATCACCCAAATTCTTTTGCGGGGGGCGTTTACTATCCCCGCAAAAGAAACACGGTGCTCTACAGGAGCAGAGAACGGAATCGGGGTGTTAAATTTAAGGAACACCACCCTAATAACTTTGTGATTCTCCCGGCAGTTGAGAGAAGTATTAGGATCTACCACATAAGTTTACAGCTGCCTCCGAATCCCATCCTGCTCAATCGTTTCGGGTACCCCTACTATTAAAGGAAGAGTTGCAATAAATTTACATCGTAAAAGCATTATATAACTGTTCGCCATTATCTTCCCCATTTTGACGTAGAATACTTACGTCTTACGTTTCGATATGGAGGCTACGCACAAATGTTGTAGTTGTAATTTTTAGCTTCACGAAAACGCTTATTGTACGAGAACAAATGAAGCGATCTCAAAGAAAAGAGTGGCGTTTCAAAAAAAAGAAAGATTCATTTTTGTAAATAACCAATTTGGTTTCAGCCTTAGAAAGAACGGTAAATATTGGCTTATTTTGGAGTCAATTTTGAACCTTTAAAGTGCTCTAGCAACATGGTTTGCAGATATAACTTTCATTTTCATATCTTCTATGTTTATTTTATTCAAATAAATGAGCATAAATAGCTTTTCCATACAAATCACTTCGTCATCATTTTGCAATCACGTGCATGCGCTAAGTGAGGGAAGGAGACAACAAGTATGTGTGTGTGTCGGCTTTTGAGTAACAGATGGCGCAATATTTATAACCTAATCGCAGCGTATGTATGTAAATATATACATACGTACATATGTTGATTGCAGTTATTGTGGATCTGTTTTTCTTTTAGTAATCTACATATGTATATGTTTATGTATGTACATATGTATATGTTTATGAATGTACATATGTATATGTTTATGTATGTACATATGTATATGTTTATGTATGTACATATG